AAAATATCTTAGAAATTTCTCTCCAGTAGAATGACAGCTCCATTGTTTATTCGCTTATGAATGAATGAACAGAATACTTGAGTCCCACGGATATAATATACACAGGAAAAATCCAAGGCACATGTCCTAGTCTGTTGGTATTGCCATAACAAAATATCTAAGACTAGGTCATTTATCAAGAATAAAAATTTATTTCTCACAGTTCTGAAAGCTGAAAATCCAGTATAAGGGCACTAGGCACCAGATGCGGTATCTCATGCCTGTAACCTCAGCATTTTAGGACACCCAGGCGGGAGGATCTCTTGAGGCCAGGAGTTTGAGACCAGCCTAGGCAACATAGTGAGACCTTATCTCTACAAAGAAAAAAATCTAAAAAGATATTAGCCTGGCATGATGGTGCACTCACATAGTCTCAGCTACTCGGGAGGCTGAGGTAGGAGGACTGCTTGAGCCCAGGAGTTCGAGGCAGCAGTAAGCCATGATCACTGCCCTCCATCCTGGGTGTCATAGTGAGACTCTGAGTCTAAAAAAAAATTGCGGTGCTGGTACATTGGGTGCCTGGCGAGAGCCTGGTCTCCACTTTCAAGATGGTGCTTCGTTGCTGCATTCTCCTGAGGAAAGGAACCCTCTGTCTTCACATGACAGAGGGATAGAAAGGGCGAAAAGGGGTGAACTCCCTTTGGCAAGCCCTTTTATAAGGGCATCTAATCCTATTCATAAGGGTGGAGCCCTTATGACTCAATTACCTCCTCAAGGCCACGCCTCTTAATACTGCTACATTGGGGATTAAGTTTCAACATGAATTTTGGAGGGAACAAAAGCATTCAAACCACAGCCACTCCCTTGACAACGAGAGAGTTTAAAAGTAAGATTGAGAGTTCAAGAGTGATGAGAAAGAAAAGGAAACTTTCTATCTGAGGAATGGGAGCCCCCTTTAAATGATCAGGCCCAGAGAGGGACTGAAATGTGACAGTAGTCAAGTTTTAGTCCCCCATCCCTTTAAGCTAAGTCATTGTTTCTAAGCTGCCTGCCATACAAACTCTAGACTGAGTGTTGCCATCAATGGCTATAGATTAACCTAACAATGCTATGCACTGGACATTATGACTCATTCCTATAGTTTAACAATATACGGCCAATAACTAATCAATGTTATTTCGGTAAACCAGTGAGAATTCCTAACAAATGACTTTTGTAGTCACCCTTCCCCTGATTAGTCCTTTTTTCTTTAAAACTGGAACCTCAACTTTGTTCTCCAGAGCGCTTCCCAGTATTTCCCAGGCTTCAGTCCTCAACCTTGGCCCAAATGAAATTCTCTACCTATATTAATTTTACCTGTTACTTTTTTAAGGTCAACAGTGAGGAGATCTAAGAGTGAGGATAGAAGCTTAGAGCCAACATATCAAACACTTGAGTTGCAATTGCCCTTGAGAACTTTCTAGGGTTCTGGACTGCCTCCTTTTGCCTCCTGATCCAGAGGCTGAGGTCCTTTATTTTTATTATTATTTCCATTTTTATTAAGATACATAGTTTCTTTGTGTCACCTAGGCTAGAGAGCAATGGTGCAATCCTAGCTCACTGCAAGCTGAGATCCCTTATAGTAGGCCTGACCTCATGCCTCTGTCAGCTTAGAAACTAACCTTGCTACCCAATAGCAGCTTCCTACCAGAAGCTGGATTCTTTTTAACCTTGATGAGCTCCTTGCTGTTAAAATGCACAAGTTCAAGCACAGGCATATTTGCTAAACTTGCCTGCTGCTCAGAGTATTTCATTTCCTTTGCAAGTAATCAGCGCTCAGACCTATCAGTGGCACGGCCATAGATGTTTACCCATATTGTCATCATCATGTGGAAATAGAGAAGTTTCAGCTTTCAAAGGTGAAGTCATCTGTCAGATGCCACACAATGATAAATCTGTGTATTTAACGTACGTTTCCAGTGCCAGAGCTCATACTGTTCATCTCACACTGTCCTGCTTTCAGAAAAACAATAGTAGATGTCAGGTAAGTTTATAGTTTGAGTAACTTTTGGGAGGTCTCCTTGGAAATCCAAATACTTCTCCCCTTGGAAATCCAAATATTCAGGGAGATAGTGCCTGAAATCTCACTCTTCCAGTTCAATTCCTTTGGCCTGGCATTTAAGGCCCCCATTACCCCTGATCTAATCTCTCATTCTTACTGTTCAAAGACCCCTTCTATCGAGCTGTCTTTATTGTGAGAGTGATGCATCTGCTTCCCCCATCACCTCACTCTGTTAGACCCTCCTGCCTCTCTGTCCAAGTTCACGACCTTGTCTCTACCTGTCGAACTCTAGTAATTGCCAGCTGTAAATGCTTAACAGCAATTTGCTTAAAAAATTAATTTCTTTGCACTTAGCATTGCTCTAGGAATCTTCTTTTAAAATGCAAACATAATACACGTATCAAGATAAGAAGCACGCACTCCATACTGTTTACAAGGACTGGGATGGGAGAAGGTTTTATCTTTTGCATATTGCCCCCCTCCTTTTTGTTTTTTGCAAATGGAGTAAAGAGTAATAATTCCTTTCATAATAACGATACTTTTAAAAAATTCTTGGAAAGCTAATGCATTAAAGTGCTAACACTAGCATCTGAGGATGAATGAGCTTGCTGATGTGCTTCCTAGTTTAGAATGGGAGAAGGCACGTCGGACACTTTCAGAGAAGGGTCTGGGGAAATGTGAGGGGGTTGTGGGGCTGTAGGAGATATACTTCCTATGTTGTACAATTAAGAGAGTGGATAATAGGGAAATTGATGGAGGGGATAACGGGTGGAGTTTTTACAAAACTTGTAAGCGGGAAATGGGTGGACAGTGACTTTAAAAAGATGGACTATGACAATGACGATGAACATTTATAGTGAGCCTGTTGTTTTTATAGTGTCTTTCATGCACTCAAATTATCTAAGTAAAGCTTCACAGTGATCCTCTTAGGTTATAATTTCTCATCTTACAGATGTGGAAACGGAAGAGAAGGAAATGTAAGGTCATCCCCCTGGTAGAGTGGGGGGGGCCTAGTCCAGACCTCTTGGCTCTGGAAACTTTAAATCAAACACGAAAAGGAAAAGCAAAGTCAACGGCGGTCTGGAAGACAAGCCTGAAGACACAGGAAAGAGAAACGTCCCGATTCCTTGTTCAGTCTGGATCTGTGACTCGGGGAGAAGGAAGCAGTCTGTGGCCAGGCGCAGGCGGGACGAGGACAAAGGCTGGTGTGGATCCGGGAGCACCCGCCTCCAGCCCCTTCACCACTGTCTTTCCCGCCGGCTCCGCGGAGCTCAGGAAACGCGGCGTGTCTTGGCCCCGCGCGGCCGCCGTAGAGTCCCGGTTGCCTTGGCTCCCGAATTCCGATGGGGACGCGCTGAGGAGCGGCGGTGAGGGGTGAAAGGCGTCCTTCGGCGTCCGGTCGGGCGTGGGGGGCCAGCGAACTGGAGCGGCGCCATGGGCTGGAGTAAGCCCCCGCCACCTTCCGCCCTCTGTCGTTGTCCTTGCGGGCGTCGTCCCGGGTCCCCCGGGATCCTCGCCGCCCGCACCAGCCCCGCGCTGCCGGTTCCCTGGCGCTTGGGCGGACCCCAACCCCAGCCGGCCCTCCGCCCGGCAGCCCGCTGCTCCACGTGCCCCGCAGACCGGCCGGGCAGCCTGGCCTTTGCCAGCTCGGGCTCCAGTCTGTACAGTGGGCGGGGCCGTGGGAAGGGGAGGAGGGGGCCGAAAGGCACTGGACTCTGAGAAAGGAGGTCGGGGGAGGTGCAGGGGGTTTGGCGTCAGGCACACCCGGTTCCGGCCAAGCGGCTCCTTACTCGCTGTGTACGTGGGCCAGTCGCTGTGTCCACGCCGCAATCTTAGGACGCGTTCCGGAAGGCAGTGTAGCCCAGTGGTGGAGGGTCCCGACTCGAACCAGGGTTGAAGTCCTCCCTCCTCCTGTGACTTTGAGTGAGCTACTTCACCCCCTGGGCCTCAGCTTCTTCATCTCCAAAATAAAGGCAATCATAGTACTGTTTTAGACACAGTAACAGTAAGTGTTACAAATATAAATGTTTCTTTCTTCTTTCTTTATTTTTTTGAGTAGTTTTGCTTTGTTGCCAAGGCTGAAGTGCAGTAGCTCGATCTCCGCTCACTGCAGCCTTCGCCTCCCGGGTTCAAGCAGTTCTCCTGCCTCAGCCTTCGAAGTAGCTGGGATTACAGGCTCATGCCATCACGCCTGGCTGATTTTTATATTTTTAGTAGAGATGGGTTTCGCTGTGTTGGCCAGGCTGGTCTCGAACTCCTGACCTCAGGTGATCCGCCCGCCTCGGCCTCCCAAAGTGTTGGGATTACAGGCATGAGCCACCACGCCCAGCCACAAATGTGTTTCTTTAAAAATATACTAACAGACTGCAAGGTGATGCGAGTTAAGTTATTTATATTAGATGAACCGTTTTGATATCGACAATGTTCTTGAGCTCCCCTTATGGCAGTTTTGTACAGCTCCACCTGATTGATCACTTATCATTGTAAAAGTGTCATAATTCACCTTTTTTAAAAACTCAAGAGCCTGCTCCAGATGATGGGCTTTCTGCCCTGGAAGACCTGACAGCCTGCAGGTGGGAAGGGTGCGGGGTGGGGGGAGTGATTTGTAAATGTTAAAACTCCTTTCCTAAACCAGCTACTGATATTTCTTGCTGTGTTCTCAGGACTGTTTCCCCATTCCCTGGTCTCACCCTAGTTTGTTCCCTCCCTCCCTCTATTCCTCCCTTCCTTTTTTCCTTCCCTATTTTATGTCATGAATTTTCCTTTGCCCTCTTTCTCTGAATTGTGCCCACTTTCATTTGTTAAATCATTAACTGGTCAGACTTGCATCGGAGTGTCTACCTTGAGTCAGGCATTGAATCCAGGATACAGTGAGGAAGGAGGCAGATGTGGCCCTACCCTCCTAGGGAGGGAGAAGGCAAACACAAGGGTGGTGGTTACAGCCAGGCAAGAGAGGGGAGCCTGTGCCCTGAGAGTGTGGGCAGGGGACCTAACCTCAGGGTGGGTGGAGGCTTCTCTGAGGAAGCAGTGCTGTCTGAAAATGAAACGGGAAGGCACAGTGAATTGCTCACAGGTAAGAAAGAGCGGGGCTTCTTGGTGGCAAATTGTCACTGACTGTAACTGGTGAGACAGAAAGAAGGAATGGAGAGCAAAGAGAGATGGAAGCCCTGACAGACAGGTAGGCAGGGATCCGCTCACAGGGGTTTTGTACTTAGAACTTAGAAATTTATCCAAAGAGCCACAGGGAAACCAAAAGGTTTTATTCACGGGTATGACTTGGCCTTGTAGGAGTGCAAGTGGGAGACGGTAGGCTGAACTCAGGTCGTGGCGGCAGGACAGGAGACTCTTCCAATGAGTAGCTCTGATGTGCCAGGCTTGGTTAAAATGCTTTACATGCATTCTCCAGTCTGATCCTCCCAGCAGTCTTTAAAGGCAGGGAAGGATTACTGACATCTCCATTTTTTAGGTGAGGCACAGAGAGTAAATCACACAGTCATTGTCAGGGCTGGAACAGAACCCACGAAGATATCCTCTGGGTCCTGCATGACACCACACTGCCTCCCACAGGACTGAGGCAAAGTGGACTAATTAGAAAGATGTGGGTGGAGAAAGTGGTCCTCTCTTGCTGTGCCACAAACCCTTTTTACATGTTCTCTCTCTCCCATGCTTCCCAATAAGTGGCCCTCTGCCTCTTGCTAACATCTCCTGACTGATCCTGTGTGCCCCTTTTTCCACTGCCTTTCCTGTATTTTCCAGAAAAAGATGCAGGGATATCATTAGTACAGGTTTTAGAGAGACCATGCTGGAGAGCTCATCTACTGTACCTGTTCATTTTAGAGATGAGAGGGGGAACATTGATCCAGCCAATGTGAAATTCCGTCCGTCAGGATAGATGTCGGACCTAGGACACAAGCTTCCCAGCTTTCGCTGCTCTTTCCACAATTCTCAGCTTCCTGCAGCTGAAGGAGAAATTTGAGCCTCTGAGAGAGCATGATAATAATGGCTCATGTTTGCTGAGCTGCTTATTGCCTTCTAGTCAGTGTTCTGAAAGTTTCTGTGTGTGTGTGCTCATTGAATTCTCACAATCATTTGAGGTAGACACTAGTATCATCTCCATTTTGCAGATGAGGAATCTGGAGCACAGAGAGGTTAAGCAGAGTGCCCAGTGTCACACAGTAAGTGTTATATCTGGGATGGTAAGCAGAGCCCGTACTCTTGTATGTGTTTGCTATATTGCCTCTTAGGAGTAAGAGAAAGTTTGGTGGGAAAAAGAGAGGTCATGGTGCAAATTCTCATATAAAGTCAAAGAGACCACTGCTTTTAGTGTTCTATCTGCTCAGGAGGACCAATATTAAGCCTGGGGACAGTGGCTAGGGGAAAATGAATTAGCTCCTCTCTGTGCATTTAATCTGGTAGATATTGTGATTTAGAGAAGATCTAGCATCTTTATTTTTCAATTTTATATTACTGAATGCGTTTTGTATTACTGTGACAGTTGTCATCTATGTTTCTTCTTTAGTGAAATGTCTTCAGATATTTTGCCCATTTTATATATTGATTTGTTATCACTGAGCTTTAAGAGTCCCTTATATTTTCTGGACATAAGTCATCAGATACGTAATTTGTAAATATTTTCTCCCCTTCTATGGCTTGTATTTTTTCTCTTATTTATGAAAGATAAGTTTTAAATTTTGAGGTCTCATTTATTATTTTATAGATCTTGCTTTTGGTGTCATATCCAAGAAATCTTTGCTAAGTTTGCATAGATTTTTTTTCTCTTTTTTTCTAGAAATTTTATAATTTTTGCTTTTACATTATTCTATCATTCATTCGACTCAGTTTTTGTATATGATGTGAGATGTACATTAAAGTGTTTTTTGTTTGTTTATTTGTTTTTGGTGGAAATCCAGTAGTACCAGCAATACTTGTTGAGGACTATGCTCTCTCCATTGAATTGAACCTTTGGATAAACCAGTGGCATGTATATATGTGTGTTCTGGACTCTCTTTTCTGATTCATTGATTTATTTGTCTTCCTTTGTGTCAATTCCACACTCTCATAATTACTGAAGCTTTGTAATAAGTAGTCTTGAAATCAAGTAGTGTTTTTCCTCTAAATTTTTTTTTCACTTTCAAAGATGTTTTAGGCATTCAGATCCTTTGCATTTCTATATGAATTTCAGTAGTATCTTGTCAATTTGTACAAAATAAGTCTGCTGGGATTTCGTTTTAAATCTGCAGCTCAATTTGTGGAGAATGAGCATCTTAACAATATTGAATCTTCTGACCCAAGAACAAGGGATATATCTCTATTTATTTAGATCTTAGAAAATATGTCTACAGAATTTTTGAAGTTTTCAGTGAACGGACTTTGCACATATATTTCTGATTTATTTCTAAGTACTTCATATTTTTGATGCCATTGTGAATGGTTAATATATAGGAGTATACTTGATTTTTTCAGATCTTGTATTCTACAATCTTGTCAAACGTTCTTATTCAAGTAGCTTTTTATGTGAATTCCATTTGACGTTCTCTGTAGGCAGTCAAGTCATCTGCAAATGGAAATAATTCTACTTCTCTACCACCTGGATGTCTTTTTTTTTTTTTCCCTTGCCTGTTGCTAGAACCTTCAGTATAATGTTGAAGTGGTGATAATAGATTTCCTTGCCTTTTTTCTGATTCTTAGGGGAAATGTCTTTCTCCACTCAATATAATGTTGATTATAGGTCTTTTGTGGATGCTCCTTCACAAGTGGAGTTCCTTTTTATTTCTAGTTTTCCAAGTTGTTGTCTTTAAAAATCAGGAATGGATGTTGGATTTTGTCCATTGCCATTTTGCATCTACTGACATTATCAGCTTTTTAGTTTATTGATATTGTATGTTGCATGGATTTCTGAGCATTACATCAACCTTGTATACATTGGATAACCCCCCCCTTAGTTATAAAGTATAATCTTTTTATTATATTGTTGGATTTGATTTGCTAAATATTTTGCTTAGGATTTTTAAATATGTGTCCATGAGGTACATGGGTCTGTAGTTTTCTTTTCTTGTAATGTATTTGATTGGTTGTAATTCTGGCCTTACAGAATATAATGGGAAGTATTATTTCCTCTTCAATTTTCTACAAGAGTTTGTGTATATGGGTATTATTTTCCCTTAGATTCTTGGTAGAATTAATCAATGGGAGACATCTGTGCCGTAGTTTTATTTGTGGAAAGAAAGGTTTTTAACTACAAATCAAGTCGATACAGGGCTGTTCACCTTATCTATATATTCTTGAGTGAGCTTTGGTAGTTTGTGTCTTTTAAGGGATTCACCCACTAAATTGAAGTTCTTGAATTTATTGGCATGAAGTTACTTATATGATTTCTTTTTTATCATTTTAGTATCTGTAGAATACATATGATGTCACCTCTCTCACTCCTAATCTAATATTGGCAATTTGTATCTTCTCTTTTTTTTTTTTTTTTTGCTGGTATGTCAGACTATAAGTTTACCAATTTTATTTTCCTAAAGAGCCAGCTTTAATTTTTGTTGATTTTTCTCTATTTTTTTCTGCTTTTCATTTCATTGATTTCTGTTATAATCTTCATTATTTGCTTTCTTCTGCTTGTTTTGGGTTTAATTTGTTCTTTTTCTAGTTCAATTTGTTCTTTTTCTAGTTTGATTTGCTTTTTTTCTAGTGGAAGCCAATATGTGAGACTTTTCTTTTTTCCTGCTATGTGTATTTAACGCTATAAATTTACCTCTAAGTAATGTTTTAGCTGTATCCTGCAAATTTTTACATGCTTTTTCTTGTGTATATAATTTTTAATTCTGTTCGAAATGCTTTCTAATTTTCCTTTTTATGTCCTTATGTCCAAGTTAAAAAAAAGTTACTTTTGCATGTTTTGTATAGATTTTTTAGTTATTCTAGGCTAGAGGGTAAACCCTGTTTTACAACTCCATTATGTCCAGAACCTGACATCGCCGCTAATCTTATGATGAAGTACTAGTCCTAGCCCTCAGCTTTCTGTGTCCTCTGGTTTCAGGAAATGAAAACCTCTTCATAGTGCTCCCAATGCAGTCCTCTGGTTTCACACTTTCTCTCTCAGCCTTTATCAGTTGTGTTAGGCAGCAGCCTTTATACAATACAATTGTCCTTTAAGTTTGTTTAGCAGCAGCCTTTATACAATATATTTGTCCTTTAAGTTACAGTTTCTCTCGCATTTCTCTAACACCTGACATGTTACACTTACTAGTAAATTCCCTTCCACTGTTTCCTATCTCTGTTCAACACCAGGGAAAGTCTTTACAATTGCATATCTGCCTTGGGCCAGGCACTATCTATGTTCTGCCTACCAGGAATAATGGTGTCCTTGGACTCTGGCAGTATGTAATCTGACTCCAAAAGCCTATCTCAGCTGGCATCTGCTTTCATGAACCACTTCTGGCATCAACTGTTCCAGCTTGGGCTCCTCAGGAAGCTGAAATCTAGGTGGGAATTAGCATGCAGGAGGTTTATTAGGAAACACTATTGGGGTGGATAGGAAAAAAATCAAGATTGGGCAGAGGGGGAAGTTGGGCTGTGATGTGTCTAAAAAGGCCATCGGAAACTGACTAGGAGATCTAAACTTGGAATGGACCTTCTGACTTGCCCAAGTTGGGGTGAAGAACTGGACCTTTACAGCCCCTACATCAACCAGTCATTGAATGTGGTCCTTCTCAGGAAAGGGAAAGGGCATGACCTTGGTTGAACAATCTCTTCAGCTGAGGCAGCTCATGAAGAAGGTGGGCAACCAAGGGCTGTCTGTGAACCGAGCTCCCAGCAGCTGGAGGAATTAATCCTTCAGTTTTGAAGAGGGACCTGAGAAGTACATCATGTCATTCACAATGGCCTGAGATGCCCTTTCCTGGTTTGTCTAAGAAACATCTACTCACATTTCAAGATTCAACTTGGGCCTCTCCTCCATGAAGCCTCTTCTGACCTCCCTTTTCTCAGTGGCACAGATCCTGTGCGCTCGTTGTACTTTCTATGTGCTTCTCTTAGTGCCCCAGAGCACTTGGTGCTTTTCAGTAGCGCACTCTACCAAATAATCCCCAAAGACATTACGGGAGTAGGGTATAGTATGGCTACTGACACTCACGATAAACCTGGGTCAGCAAGAAAAGACAGGCAAGTGTACGATCCTGCTTTTAAAAGTTTCCATTGAAAATGGTTAAAAAATGTTTTGGATGCTGCAAGAGGTGACCATCACCTATTTGTAACCCTTTCATTTCTATTAAATCTCAATTTCATATACATATCTGATAGGTCTTTCAAGATGTCTGAAAATGCTACAGAATCTGCAATAAATACTTATTGGTTGACTTTATTCTAATATCTAGCAGGAAAGAAAGAGAGTTGTTTACAAAACATGATGTAAAACCTGCAGGAATGAACACAAAATTATTGGCTTTGGGAGCTGTTAGAACTTCGTGCGATGTAAGGAAAAACTTTAGAAGTAAACACAGCAGGACAGCCTCCAGAATCAGACACTTCCTCCCTGTGCCCTCTGTCTCTGCTCCCTGCAATGTGATTTCACTGATACACCCTCAATTTTTGGAGAACCCATTCATATTAAGGAATTGGAAAGAAGCTTAGGTGGGCTGAGCTAGTTTGATTCAACCTTTGGATTCCTCCACAGCCTCTTTTAGTGAGGGGAGTGTGTATCTGTGGTTGAAGCTGTCATTATCCTTCATCAAGTACTTATTTCTCCAGTTATACAGATATTGGCTAGCACTCACCCATCTGCATCTTGTATTTTGCTATTTGAAATTTCCTAAAATAAGGAAGTGAAAGCAATATGTTTTATATTGTACCTTGGCATGTTTTTCTTCTATACCATATAATAGGTACTATAATACCATTTCTCTTGAAATTGTCTTATGATAACATATTAATTACTCCAAAGCATTTTATTATTTATTTATTTACTTATTTATAGGAAAAAGGGAACTGATGCTTACTGTCCAATGACTGTATACCAGGCACTGTGTTAAGGGCTTTGCTTAATTATTTAATCATCAGAAAAATTTTAAGAAATCATTGCTGGCATTATCTCCAGTTTACAGATGAGAAAACTGAAAATAGATGAATAGTTTTGTCCAAATCTATATATCATAAAAAGGTAGAGAATGGTGGAGCAAGG